CACCCTGATGTAGCCTTTGATTTGAGCATGGTTTGTAGATATCAAGGGAATCCTGGTAAAGCTCGCTGGACTGCGGTAAAGAACATTCTTAAGTACCTGCGGAGGACTAAGGATAGGGTCCTTACCCTTGGTGGGAGTGATGACTTGAGAGTGACAGGGTATAGTGACACCAACTTTCAGACCAACAGAGATAGTTTCCGCTCTCAGTCGGGATGGGTATTTACCATAAATGGAGGAGCAGTAACTTGGAAAAGTTCCAAATAGGAGACTATAGCCGATTCAACGTGCGAATCAGAGTACATAGCAGCAAGTGAAGCATCGAAGGAGGCAATATGTCTAAAGAACTTCATCGGAGACCTTGGAGTTGTACCCGCTGTAAAGGAGCCTATGGAGATTTTCTGTGACAACGAGGGTGCGATCGCCTTAGCCAAGGAACCAAGGGATCATGGCAAATCCAAGCACATCGATAGAAAATATCACTTCATAAGACATCGAGTATAAGAAGGACTACTCGTAATGAAGGGGGTATCATTAGAGGAGAACCCATCAGATCCCCTTACGAAGGGACTGAGTAGGGTTAAGCACTTGCAGCACGCTAGGAGTACTGGGCTGAAGGACCATATTAGTTTTTAATGATTAGATATATATTTAGAAACTTGTAATAGCTAAAATGTAATTGACATTTGATGATTGAATAAAAGGAGTTTTATTTATAATTAAAGTTACTATCTTGTGTCAATTGTTTACTATTGTTTCATTATTTCATGTTTTGAGTTCCAGAATAATAAGATTATTCAAACCATCCACAGCCGATCATACTTTGGAAGTAGGTTATGAAAGTAGACTGTTATGAATGGCTTTTTGTAAGATTGTATAAGGTGTTAGACATAGAAAAGTTTGCTAAAAACATTTATAAGTGCTCTTGAAATAAAATTTGAGTATTGGACTAAACCCACGCTCACATGAATCACTTCATAGAATTTATCACGAGTGATTGTGAGATGATAATATCGTATGATCTACAAACCAATATATATGAGTTGTTAATTATGAGTTGGTTGTACATTTATGATACGTAACCACATTAGTAACTTGATGTTATAAAACGTATTATTGTGTATGATTTGACGAGTAGTTACTACAAACATATAAGTCGAAGTTTATCTGTTCCTTTTATCCTAAGAGGATTAAAAGCGATATCTTGGGCCCCTCGATGATTTTGTTTTGACTTATGTGTCGGGCCCGGTCAGGACGCTATTGATGTGTTCAATTAAGTTCTATGTCAAACAAATCGGAAATCGGGAACAAATTGCAGGACAATAAGTATGACTGTGTTCCATGTATTTTTCCGCACGATATCTTGAAGAACAGAGGATTAGATGATCCCTTATCTAATGGACGCGTCAGAGTTCGACAACGGCTTTTTGAGAGCTACGATTGCTAATCGGATTTTGAAGTTACATTCGCAATTATTGTTGTTAAACTTATCCAAGTGGGAGACTGTTGGATTAGGTGTTTAAGCCCATAACTATAATTAGTATGTACTTGACCCGATAGTAGCATGGTCTATTTCGGGTTGCCTTCACCAGGACATATGTTCATTAAACAACATATCTTTGGAATATGCTATCTCTGCCTCTTTACTTGAACATTCTACTAAAACTTCATCTAATTAACTACTATATGACATGATTTCCTCATATCGATTTTCTAATATATATATATATATATATATATATATATATATATATATCAAGGTTGTAGAAAACGTTAGACGTTAGCTAGTCGGTGGACTGGGGTCTAGGGATTAATCGGCTAAGCGGGAATTAATCGGGGGATTAAACGGGGACCATTAATTATTAAGAAAATTATTCAAAATTTTAGAAATCTAACTTTAATCGTAAGAATATAAATAAATAAGCATACAAGTTTAATAATAAGTTTAACAAGCACAACAATTTATCATCCAATTAATAAGAAAAGTTAATCAATTTTTAATATATCTTAAGAAAAGAAGTAAATTTGGGTATTTGTATATTTGAAAACACAGAAATTTATAAAATTTATTTTTTTTAAAATTTTTTTTATATATTAGTTGAAAATTGAAATACTATGAACTTTTGAAATTTTGAAAAATTTGGTTTAATATTTAAAATTTAAAAAATTTAAAAATTTGGCCGATTAGGCCGCCTAGGATCGATTAGAACCGTCTAGCTTCGACTTTGACCCCTTTGACCAAAACCGATTAAGCCGACCGATTAGCCTTAATCCTATTCGGTTGAAGACCGCCTAGCGATTAATCCCCGATTAATCGGCCGCCTAGACCGATTTTTACAACACTGATATATATATATATATATATATATATATATATATATATATATATATATATAATTTAGTTTAGTTAAGGAACAAAGTATATTTCAGATTACAATTATAAATAAAATGGTACTGGTGTGTTTAATAATAATCTGGAAAAACTTTGTATGGATAAATATGACATTTGAAGGGAATTTTAGCATACAATGGCAAAAGGGCTAGCAATTAGATCATTTTCAAAGTTACACAAGATTCATAATCTATAAGTTTTACCTTAAGTGGCCTATCTGTTTACATACTCAGTTGCAAATAATTTAGATCATCTTGAAAGTCATCATATAAAATATTTTACCAATATGCAACTAGTCGTTTTGAACCATAGAACTTCAATAGGAAAGTACTACTGAAAATAAGATTGTTTCTTGAATATTCTAAAAGGACTTTGATCAAACACTTGGTGTTAAATACCAAAAGATCCACATCCATGTGAAATTAAAATATATAAGGGTCCCATTTTCGTTCTAACACCCCAAAACAAATGACAATTCAATGTAGTAACAAAAATTAAACATGCCTTAGACCTCAGTTGATTGTAAAATCCCAAAAAATAACAAACTGAAAGTGGAAGAAACGGAGGTGGCAGTGATGTCATCTGGAAGTGAATAAGACAGTGAAAGAGGTGTCAGTGATTTCATCGGGAATGAAAGCCACGCCAGTGTAGGATCTTCAATGGTAGCGTGTGGGGGATGTTGTGATGTAAAGGCACTAGATCATCAAAAATATAATGGTTTTTAAGGTTTTTACATGAAGAACAAAGAAACAAGGGTGAGTTATGGTGGTATAACAACCGATACGGTAGTGTTCACCTCTGATGATTTCAGAGGACGTCAGAGCTCACATTGATTGCAGTTGTATAGGAAGATGATGTAGATATCAATACGAGCTACTATTCTGTTTGTTACGCTCGAGATCAAATTGCGATCTACTGTAACACCCCATTTTCACTTTATAACAAAATTTAAAATAAACGTTTGTTTATAAAATTCGAGTAAAAATATATTTCAGAGGACGAAAGAGCTCACATCGATTGCAATTTCACAGGAAGATGATGTAGATATCAATACGAGCTACCCTTCCGTTCGATACGCTCAGGATCATATTAGGATCTACTATAACACCCCGTTTTTACTTTACAACAAAATTAATACAAACGTTTGTTTATAAAATTTGAAATAGAAATATATTACTTTTTAACTAAAGTAATCATCACAAAAGTGGTAGTAGTCGTGATGAAAATTACGTAGATATAAAGAACGCTTAAATATGACTTCTTATGAGGAAGTTATGAATTTTGTAAGTTTTGTGTTCAGCCCGACACAACTAGATGTGTCATAAAAAGTGAATTTGATATCGGTTACTTTTTACTCTAAGCAATGTAAAGAGAGTTGAAGATCACATAATGTGACATCCCCATTTTCCACGGCCAGAAAAGACCGATTTTGTTAATGCTTGTTTGAAAATCAGAGTAACATTTTTAAATAAAAGTGTTGCGGAATTTGTCCCAAAACAAAATATGATAAAGATTTATCAAAAGCATTTCTAAGGAAATGTATTTCATTAAAAGACTCGGGATGTCATGTTCGATACAGATCAAAAGCATAAACAGTACAACATAAGCCTTACTACATTATTTCATATCTACAGGCCTATATCCGTAATCCCTCATCCAAAACATCATATCTGTGCTCGAGCGCCACTACCTGTAATACATGAAACTGAGTGGGTCAGGCTTGGGAGCCTGGTGAGCACATAGGGTTTTCAACCCACAATAAATAAGTTTATTAATTTCATCAATCAACAATAACCCGATTACTCGTTCCCGTTATCCTCACTTTACGTCCCTAAACACCTATCATAAGGGACCCAACCTAAGGATCATCATCGGGACGGACACTACTACTAAGGGGGTTCCTCAGCAATAAATGTCCTAAAGGCAACCATGAGGGGGATGGAGTACACCGGTGAACACATCGTTCACAAACACCTATAGGTTGCGAGCCTGCTAGCGTTCCACTAGACTGTCTAGAAGAGTCCGTGGTTGTCATCCATACTCTGCTAGATGACAGAATCAACAACAACAACATCGAGGCCTCTCATCATTTTATCACACATCGTCTATTACATCTACCCATGTTTTACCCCAACATTTTGTAGATATAAAATACATATACAGTTTAAATCATTTAAAACATGTATAAAAATCTTTCATCAGCATAGACAGCAAGTATTCAGACAATATGCACACATAGCACGTAATTTATATTAAATACTTCATATCTATGTGTAAGATGAAAGTGACTATGCACTCACCTGAAAAGGTGGTGAATCTGAACTCAGACAGCGCTTCGCTTCTTAAAAATAATTTCCTTCGACGAAACCTAGTATTATTACCACTATAGTTTAGTCTATTATTCGCCGAGACTAATTAATAGTCTAGCTATTATTATTATTATATTATATATATATTAAAGTTGTTTGCCAACATGAACAGTGAACTGGCGGGTTTTTGGCAGAAATGGTCCCTACATTATCAGTTTTTGGTAGGAGGGTATTTTATGAAATTATGTATATTTTTCGGATACGTGTTGTTCATCGGTTGGATTTGTCTGTATTTGTATTTGATGTTTATCTTCGCGTTTCTGGATCCTTCTCCACCCCTTCGTATCCTCCTGATGAAAACGGGTTTCTACCCACCGCTTTATCAATACAGGATCTCTCCCAAATCCGAAATCGCTGACGGATCTTCGTTGAATGGTCGAAACGGCCTCAGGACGAGGCGTATTACCGGTGGCGACGGTGGGGAGGCGTTACCGATGTCAGCTTCTGCTCTCTCTCACCGGATCATGAAGCATCAGTTACTACTTCCGGCGGTCCAATAATACTTGCACTCGACAGAGACAGGGCCGAAAAATGATGCACCGGTACCACCGGTCAGCTTGCTGATTGTCGACCATCGCCGCTCAGGTTACGGTTTTCAAAATCCATCGTCTTCTCCTATATCTTTAGTTTTTTTTTTTTTGTTTTTTTAAAGATATTTTCTCTTTTTCTGTGACATAGGGTGATTAAGCAACATCATACACCGGCGATGCTGCTACTGGTGGCACAAATTATCAGGTTCTTTTTATCAAAGCCTGATGCCTGGCCCTAAAATTACGCAGAAGAACACTGTGATTCTGGAAATAAGTTAATTTCATAATTATGTTCTTCGATGCTGCAACTAATACACTAATAGAAGAAGATGATTTCTTTTAAATTGCATCCACATCTGGTTTAATTCTATAAATTTTAGGCACCAAAAACAATACGCTATTATCTAAAAAACGCTATCACCTTACTTCTACCACCACAAGAACTGACGATGGTTTATGGCACCTGAGTTGCAGAGCATCACCGGTGAACCACCACCGATTTTGGGTCGGTTCTTCTCCTCCGACTCCTCCCAAATTTCTGTGCACATGAGGAAACATTGGGTTCTACTTCAAACTCATCAGGTTAATGTTCAATTCCATCTGGGTTTTCTTGAAATTGAAAAATTCGACTTTACATTCTCTCATTTTTGTGGGTTATTCAGTGTGTCGCGATGTGAAGTCTTGGTTTCTCCCATCAGCTTTGTTTATGTGTTTTTTTTTTTTAATTATTGTATTTGGGTTTTTTATGGTTTGTTGTTTTATTTCTTTGCTTTGTTTGTTTCTGCTGAGAGACAGGTGGAAGTCTTGGTTTCTCCCATCAAAATAGAGGTAGTACGCCATGTTCTGCAAAAATTGTGTGCAGGTGATTGTTGATGCATATGGGTACAGATTCACAATTTTAATATCAAACCTTTTTTGCTTATTTAATATTCCCATCTACAAAAACCGTAATGTTGTCAACAGCAGGGTCCCTAGGTGTTGAAGCTTTCTGATTGTTTCATGGACCTTTATTGCAACAATGACTTCAATTAAGAAAACCAATTCCTTTTTTGGTTACGTCTTCATTATATTTTTGTTCCTAAGTTACAAATTTGGACCGACTTTCTTATTTTATTTTGTTGTTTAGGTTGTGGGAGAAGAATATCACCTGGGTGGATATCTTTGAGGAGATACATGTATGTTCTTACACTTCAATATTAAATGTTGTTTGTTAGAATACTAAGAAAACAATATGTTTCATATTTTAACATATCAACGTTTGAACTTCAGTCCTTGTGGGTGCATTCATGAGTCATGATTGAGCTGGAACCCGATTAGCCTGTCACCCAGATATTTCAAAATCAATTCTTTTAAATAAGTTTGAGCAGATTATATAAAGAAAGACTTATTGTGATATTTTATATGGTAGTCTGATTATGATAGACTACAGTTGTGAAACACTTCATTGCTGGATCAATAGTCTTGAAAGATTTTGGAAGCCTGCTTTTCATCTTTAGTAGTAAAATCGGTGCTTTTCTTCTGGTTAGTAATTATTTTCTGATTACCAATATCATTTTCTTCATTTGTTATGCTAAGAAACAATTATTTAACTTTTTATTTTTGACATAATTTTTCCTATTTTGCATCACCTGATTGCAATTGTACATTTAATCATAACTTTCTCACCTGATCATCAACATATGCACCATTTCTTCTCAGCATTGGTGCACTCCTGCTCCGTCTTATCAGTTTTCTATGGACGGCTAAAAGTCTCGAGCCGTTTAAAAAACCTTTTCTTTCTTCTCTTTTGGATCTGCTTATTCCAACAGAAACCTTCCTACCAGATGTTAACGTCATCGAAATAGCAATATCCTTTTTTAAACCACAAAAGACCAAATTGCCCTTTACCAATTTTACTGCACCAATCCCAGGTAAAACCAACTGACAATCTTATACTTTCATGTCTAGCATTATTTGTAGCCTCCAGAAGGATTAACATAAAATCACATATCATAAGACACACAAATTGGTCCGATTATGGGTTTAGATTCTGATTTCTCGATTTTTTGGTGTATGAAACGGAAATGGGCGGTGGTGCAAGGAGGTAGTGCCGTCTGGAATCGCAATCAGATTAGAATATTGAACGTGCTCATTGAGGAGCAAATGCTTATACTTAGGAATATATTCAACACCATCTATTGTCAAGAGGGAACCGAAAATGTAATTGAGCTTTGGTATTTACAAGGTATTTTCATATTAATTATGTACTTTTCACTGTTCAAATTTAAAATTTTTTGTGCTGATCTTATTCACCTAAATCACTGTAGCCAGAAGATGTAAAACTTGCAGTGCGTTTGTTCGAGGTGGATTTAAACAAAATGGTTATGAGGTCCAGCTACTCTCTTCCGTAAAACATATACTTTTAGATTGTTTATGTTGAATATTACTATATTTAGATATCATTTAGATTCATATTTTATTATAAATTTATAATTTTTTTGCCTTATAAGTGTCTTGCCTTTATAGCAAATTTAGGGTTTTTTTTAATCGTTATTAATATTATTTCCCACGAGGTGTGAAGTTTGCAAAATCACTTTTTTTCAAGGTATCCACTTCAAAGGTAATTATTTTATTCATTTTATTACAATTATGTGTGGTGGATTCTATTTATATTTTTTTATTAATTAATATATAATTTGAACTGATATGGAGTTTAAAGTAGGATTGACAATTCCTTTGATTTGGGATTTTATTGAAGTTGAGTTATGCTGAACACAAATTCAGGTATGCGTTCTATCCATGACTGATGCTTTGTTTTCATTCGATTTCAATTTAACAATGGGATTCATGAAATTCATCTTATGGGTTTTCAAATTCATTTTGATACATAATCCAAGACGTTAGCACAAACAATCATGAATTTGTTAAAAGTCAAGATTCTTATGCCATGTGTGTGCTGGCCCTTTAGTCCCTTTACCTTGAATTGGAAACGTCGTCGTCTATTTTTCACAAGCACACAACGAGCAAGTAAGCTTCTTTCACAATATCTTTTTTTAAAAAAATTACATGTATTCTATCTACTATGGAATTCTTCCTTTTTTTTTCTATTGTTTTACTCAAGGTTGCAGCATGATGCGAACCTGATGAAGTTTATCCAGAAATGACTATTCGACCCGTATATAAAGTACGTTAGGTGATGTATCATGTTTTATTATTGATTTTTTTTTGAGTCTTTAGAAATAGATTCCAACATCGGGTAGATTTTTGTAGTATGATCAACAACCATTATTTATGTCCTAAATGAGTTTGAAGTAAAACAAGAATCCACCTACAAAAACACATTTCATGGATTGAATAAACTAAGTTGTTATTTTGTGCTTTGTTATGCAGATTGGAAATCTTATATTGTGAAAAAAGTAATCTCAAAATCGGTTTTGAGCATACTTTTCGTCTTTTGATTTTGAAGATGGTTTGACTGATTCGATTATCAAAAGACGAAAACAATGCTCAATACCAAACCCCGCGGAGCGGGGTTTCCCAAGTAGTATATATGAAAGTTGTGCACCAAGATGAATAGTGAATTATGGTTGATTATGAAATATTTCGATTTGTTTCTTATTTTTTTATTGAATTGAGTTATGTATATTTCGATACATCTAAAAGATCCCCAAAATAATTAAAATAAAACCATGATCAAAACCGAGCCCCGCGGAGCGGGGCACCCCAGCTAGTTACTATTATATAAGCGTTAAACAATACTTATATAACCCATAATAATAGCCCAAGTACTTATTATAAGTTCCTAATAACGTTATTATAATTAAATAAAAGCTATATTAAATATAGCGTAGGCGTAGCTCACTTAAAGCGAGTTTTTATAGAAAACCGGGCTTTTCTCGGAGCAGCGTTTCCGAACCGAAAGACCCTTTTTCTCGGGACTCCGGGAGCCTCGGGGCTTCCTTTGGGTGCTAGGGATTTTTCCTAGGGTTTAGGGGGTTTAAGGGGTAGTGAGAGAAAGTAGAGAGAGAAAAAGTTGTGAAAATGTGTGATTTCCTCAGCAGCCCTCGCAAGGTATTTATAGGGTCGGAACTTCGGATCTACGCGGGGCGTTCAGCAAGTTACGCGGGGCGCACCAGCCTTGGACGCGGGGCGTACCAGCCTTGGACGCGAGGCGACGTGGCGTTCATCGGATGCGAGACCGTGGGGAGCAAGCAACGGCTAGGATCTTGCCACGTCATCACAGTTTCGCAAATTGCAAACTTAACTTCTAAAAATCATAACTTTTGCATACGAGCTCCGTTTTCGACGTTCTTTATATCCACGCGTAGGCGGGAACGTACTCTACAACTTTAGTTTAGACTCCGTCGGCTAATTTTGAATTTATTTTAAAAGTTATATTTTTAACAGGCCGGAACAGGATTGGTTCGTTAAAAATTCATAACTTCTTCATCCGATATCCGTTTTCGTCTATCTTTTTATCGTTATGCTACTATTAACGAGATCTTTGATTCTCGTTTAGGTTGTGTCGGCTAAAAACTGCTCGATCTAATATTCGAACTTCATGCTACATTGCTAAGCCGAAACTTCGAAAAATCATAACTTCCTCATACGAAGTCAGATTTGGGCGTTCTTTTTATGGACGCTCTCGGTTTAACGTATTCTACGACTTTCGTTTAGATTGCTAAGGCTAAAAGTCGCTCTATCGTAAATTCACTATTTATGCTTCCCGGTATCGTGCCGGTTCCATCACGAAACTTCGATGAGTCATAACTTCTTCGTTATAACTTGGATTTCGGCGTTCTTTATATTTCCGGAATCCTTGTTTCGACCAATACAACTTTATGTAAAGATATCGGGCTTATCTCATACTTTAATTTTGACGCTTATTTTTATTCTTTATTAATTATACATTTATAATTAAATAATAAGCACATAAATTCACATAATTCACAAAATACTCAAATATTTCATCTTTATTACATCAAAAGAGTTACAATAGTTGACCTAGACTATTACATCGTCTAAAATGCTTAGCCCCGAAACCCGGACGTTACAATTCTCTCCCCTTAGGATGATTCCGTCCGGGAATCATGCGTCTGCAAACAGATACGGATAGCGATTCATCATGTCATCCTCTGTTTCCCAAGTGAGATTCGGCCCATTCGAATGTTTCCGTTGGACTAGCACTAAGTCGACCATCTTGCGTCGTAACTTCTTAGTCTTACGGTCAACAATTGCCTCGGGCTCTTCAATCAGCCTCTTGTTCTCATCCATTCTTAATTCTGAGATTGGAATTATGTCGGGAACTTCTCCCGTGAATTTCCTCAGATAACATACATGGAAGGTGTTATGAATACCATCGAGTTCTTCGGGCAATTCCAGCTTGTAAGCTTGGTTCCCAATCTTCTGAAGAACTTTGAACGGTCCAATAAACCTTAGACTTAGTTTTCCTCGTTTTCCGAATCTTATATGTCCCTTCCACAGTGAGACCTTAAGCAAAACCGAATCCCCAACTTCGAAGGTCATTGGTTATTTTTTCTTGTCAGCATAGCTCTTCTGACGATCCTGAGCTGCTAACATTCTTTCCCTAATCACCTTCAGTTTCTCAGCAGTCTCATGGACTATCTCGGGGCCCATAAACTGCTTTTCTCCAGCCTCAAGCCATCAAGACGGCGTACGACACTTCTGTCGTACAAGGCATGATAAGGTGCCATCTTGATGCTCGAGTGGAAACTGTTGTTGTAGGAAAATTCTACCAGAGGTAAGTGTTCATCCCAGTTACCTTGGAACTCTAGGGTACATGCTCTCAACATATCCTCCAGTGTCTGAATCGTTCTTTCGCTCTGACCATCAGTCTGCGGATGGTAAGCTGTACTCAAATACAACTTCGTACCCAATTCCTCTTGTAGACTTCTCCAAAACCTTGACATGAAACGACTATCACGATACAATCGTTAGAGGAACACCGTGAAGTCTCACAATTTCCTTCACGTAAGCATTTGCAAGCTTATCCATAGACCACCTTTCGTTGGTAGCTATGAAGTGTGCACTGTTTGTGAAACGATCCACGACCACCCAAATCATGTCGTGTCCGTTCTTCGTCCTGGGAAGTTTAGTCACAAAATCCATGGTGATGTCTTCCCATTTACCCATGGGTACAGGTAAGGGTTCTAAACTCCCATACAGTTTCTAATGTTGTGCCTTAACTCTTGCACAAGTTACACACTCGACCACATACTTTGCAACATCGAGCTTCATCGTCGGCCACCGGTACTAGGGTTTTAGGTCCCTATACATTTTAGTGCTACCGGGATGAATCGAGTACATGGTCTTGTGAGGTTCTTCCATCAGAAGATCTCGTATCCCTCCCGTCTTAGGTACCCAAATTCTATCTTGGAATACCTTCAGTCCTTGACTGTTTGTACCGAACACCAAAGTTTTACCCAAACGTTCTTCTTTTCAGTCATTCTTCTCTGTAGCTTCTTCTTGAGCTTTCTTTATACTTTCTACAATGGTCGAGACAACTTCTATTCTCAACGCTCTTGGCCTTTTTCTTTCAAGATTGACTTTTCGACTTAGAGCATCAACAACAACATTTGCTTTACCGGGGTGGTAAAGTATCTCACAGTCGTAGTCCTTGAGTAACTCTAGCCAGCATCGTTGTCTCATGTTCAATTCTTTCTGATTAAAGAGATACTGGAGACTCTTATGATCAGTGAAACGTTTGCACTTCGTGCCATAGAGGTAGTGCCTCCATATTTTTAGAGCAAAAACTACCGCTGCCAACTCCAAATCGTGAGTGGGGTAGTTCTTTTCATGCTCCTTCAATTGTCGAGACGCGTATGCTATCACTTTTTCTCTTTGGGTCAGAACACAACCCAACCCGACTCCAGATGCGTCACTATAGACCGCGAAGTCTTCAACTCCATCGGGTAGAGAAAGAATTTGTGCTTCACATAACTTCTTTAGATTCTCGAACGCTTCTTCGTGCTTCTCACTCCATGTATATGTAGCTCCTTTGTGGGTCAAAGCTGTTAATGGAGCAGCTATCGAGGAAAAGCCTTGGATAAATCGTTGGTAGTATCCAGCTAATCCCAGAAAGCTTCGAATCTCCGTGAGACTTTTCGGTCGTTCCCACTTCATCACCGCTTCGATTTTTGTTGGGTCAACCATTATCCCTTCTTGGTTAACCACATGACCCAAGAATTGGACTTCTCGGATCCAAAAACTACACTTGGAGAACTTTGCATACAACTTCTCATTCTTCAAGACTTCCAACACTTCTCGTAGATGATGGACATGCTCCTCCTGGCTTTTCGAGTAGATGAGAATGTCATCTATGAACACTATCACGGATTTATCGAGGAATGGTTTACAAACCCTGTTTATCAAATCCATGAATGCTGCTGGAGCATTGGTTAGTCCAAATGACATAACCAAGAACTCGTAGTGTCCATATCTCGTTCTAAATGCAGTCTTCTCAATATCCTGATCTCTAACCTTCAGCTGATGATATCCTAACCTAAGATCGATTTTTGAGAAATAGCTCGAACATTGCAGCTGATCGAATAGGTCATCAATCCTTGGCAATGGATACTTGTTCTTCACCGTTGCCTTGTTCAGCTCTCGGTAGTCTATACACATTCTCATGCTTCCGTCTTTCTTCTTTACGAATAGCACCGGAGCTCCCCAGGGTGATGAACTAGGTCGAATGAAACCGTTGTCCAACAACTCCTGAAGTTGCGTCATAAGCTCCTTCATCTCCGACGGTGCTAATCGGTACGGTGTCTTTGCTATCGGTGTTGTACCTGGTAACAAGTCTATCCGGAATTCCACTTGTCTATCAGGTGGTAATCCGGGAAGATCTTCAGGAAAGACTTCCGGATAATCACACACAACCGGTATATTCTGCACCTCTTTCTTTTCCTTCTTAGCATCGATTACAAATGTCAAGTATGATGCACATCCCTTGGACAAACATTTTCTGGCTTTCATCAGGGAGATGATTCCAGAATTTACTCGGCGTTTGTCCCCGTACACCATAAATGACTCTTTTTCGGGTGGGTTTACCCTTACTATCTTCTTTCGGCATTGAATTTCAGCATCGTTGGAGCTAAGCCAATCCATTCCCAGAACGAATGCGAAACCGTTCAATTCTATGGGTAACAACTCCTCGTGGAATTCGTTTCCGTTTAGGTCGATGACGATGTTATTAATACGATTACTAATAGGTACGAACTTGCCACTGACAACTTCCACAATTAGGGCATTATCAAGTTTTTCTATAGGCAATGCTAATTTTCCTCCAAATCTATGCGATACAAAGGAATAGTTTGCTCCCGAATCAAATAGTATATTGGCAGGCAATCCATTTACAAGAAAGGTACCTGAAGCGACGTCTGCTGCCTCCTTTGCAACCTCGAGCGTCATCTGGAAGGCTCTTGCCTTCGGCTTCGGTAAAATGTTGGGTCTTCCTGCCTCCTTCTTCTTCGGACAGTCCCTCGACATGTGCCCTTCCTTGTTGCACTCATAACAGACCTTCTTAGTGAACGTGCACTCGTTGGCATAGTGCCCAGGTTTTCCACATTTGAAACAAGTGACTCCTCCGTCACATTTCCCCTGGTGCTTTTTCTTG